TTTTTCTCCGGCATACTAACGTCGACCAGAATACTAACACCAAGCATTATACTAACGCCAAGCACTGTATACCAACGCCGATAAGTATACTAACGTCTACCAGTAAACTGAGGCCGACTAGTACAATAACACCGGGTAGTATATTAATGCTGACGAGTATGCTAATGCTGACGAGTATGCTAATGCTCACGAGTATGCTAATGCTCACGAGTATGCTAATACTCACGAGTATGCTAATACTCACGAGTATGCTAATACTCACGAGTATACTAATGCTCACGAGTATGCTAATGCTCACGAGTATGCTAATGCTCACGAGTATGCTAATTCTCACGAGTATACTAATGCTCACGAGTATGCTAATGCTCACGAGCATACTAATGCTCACGAGTATGCTAATTCTCACGAGCATACTAATGCTCACGAGTATGCTAATGCTCCCGAGTATGCTAATGCTCACGAGTATGCTAATGCTCACGAGTATGCTAATGCTCACGAGTATGCTAATACTCACGAGTATGCTAATACTCACGAGTATGCTAATACTCACGAGTATGCTAATGCTCACGAGTATGCTAATGCTCACGAGTATGCTAATGCTCACGAGTATGCTAATTCTCACGAGTATACTAATGCTCACGAGTATGCTAATGCTCACGAGCATACTAATGCTCACGAGTATGCTAATTCTCACGAGCATACTAATGCTCACGAGTATGCTAATTCTCACGAGCATACTAATGCTCACGAGTATGCTAATGCTCCCGAGTATGCTAATGCTCACGAGTATGCTAATGCTCACGAGTATACTAATTCTCACGAGCATACTAATGCTCACGAGTATGCTAATGCTCCCGAGTATGCTAATGCTCACGAGTATGCTAATTCTCACGAGCATACTAATGCTCACGAGTATGCTAATGCTCCCGAGTATGCTAATGCTCACGAGTATGCTAATGCTCACGAGTATGCTAATGCTCACGAGTATGCTAATATTCTCGAAATTGACAATACTGTTTGCACAATCGTACTCACAAATGTACTAATTAAAATAAATTATCTTGAGTCTAGGTAAATAGACTGAAGAACAGACTAGGTAAATTAACATGGTAAATATAATATGTTAATAGACTATGTAAATAGTCAAGCTATATATATATATATATATATATATATATATATATATATATATATATATATATATATATATATATATATATATATATATATATATATATATGCATAAAAATTTAGCTGCATCTTGTGTAATGTGCTGGAAATTTAGCACAGTACTGTGTTAGGGAACCTGGAAGAGTGTAGTACTGTGTCAGGGAACCTGAAACAGTGCAGTACTGTGAGGGATCAAACCGGAACAGGACAGTACAGTGTGAGATCACCCGAAACAGCACAGTATCACTCGGGACAGCACAGTACTGTGTGAGATCACTCGGAACAGCACAGTACTGTGTGAGATCACCCGGAACAGCACAGTACTGAGTGAGATCACTCGGAACAGCTCAGTACTGTGTGAAATCACCCGGAACAGCACAGTACTGTGTGAGATCACCCGCAACAGCACAGCACTGTGTAAGATCACCCGCAACAGCACAGTACTGTGTGAAATCACCCGGAACAGCACAGTACTGTGTGAGATCACCCGCAACAGCACAGTACTGAGTGAGATCACCCGGAACAGCACAGTACTGTGTGAGATCACCCGGAACAGCACAGTACTGTTTGTGATCACCCGCAACAGCACAGTACTGTGTGAAATCACCCGGAACAGCACAGTACTGTGTGAGATCACCCGCAACAGCGCCTAGAACATACGCAAAAGTTTAATCAGCACTGATGCCATTAACAGCATAATTACCTATGCTGCCTTTATACTTTACTAATGTAAAAGAGCTAAAAGCTAACCTCTATACACATGCCCGTTGGGGCTCAATATGCTCACCACTACTCTAAAGCCAACTATAATTAGATTTCTGGCGAGTTTTTATTGCTCACGAGCATACTTATACGCGTGAGTATACCTAATTATTATTCTCACACGAGTCTACTTATTCTTACCTGTATGATTATGATCAAGAGTTTACTCATGTTCATGAATTTCTAATATTTACAAGTATTTAATGTTTACCAGTGTGCTAGCTCTGATCAGTATACCACAGCTACCACTATACTAATGCTTAGCGTATACTAATCCAAATGCTAATGCTATCAGTATACTACTACTACTACTACACTAATGTTCACTGGTATACTAATGTTCGCTGGTATACTAATGTTCAATGGTATACTAATGTTCACTAGTATACTAATGTTCACTAGTATGCTAATGTTGCAGTATACTAATGCTCACGAGTATAATAATGCTAATCAGTATACTAATTTTGACCAGTATAATAATGCTCACAATATACTAATGCTCACAGCATACTACTGCTCATAATATACCAATGCTCACAGTATACTAACGCTCACCCGTATACTAATGCTAACCGGTATACTATTGCTAGCAATATACTACCGCTCACTAATTCATTAACGCTCACCAGCTAATGCTTCCAGTACACTAATGCTCACCAGAATATTAACGCCAACTAACACTTGGGGGGTGGAGGTATACCAGACGCTCACGGGTATACCAGACACGGGTATACCAGACACGGGTATACGAGACGCTCACGGGTATACAAGATGCTCACCCAAGGCTCCGGACGCCACTGGGTCAGGAATAACGGCTAACTACACCCTTACTCAGAATCGCCCGGAGCGTGATACCTGTTGGACACACACACACACACACACACACACACACACACACACACACACACACACACACACACACACACACACACACACACACACACCGTTAGGGCATAGAGGTTGTTGGTATGTAATGTACATGTAGTGTGTGTGTGTGTGTGTGTGTGTGTGTGTGTGTGTGTGTGTGTGTGTGTGTGTGTGTGTGTGTGTGTGTGTGTGTGTGTGTGTGTACTCACCTATTTGTACTCACCTATTTGTGCTTGTGGGGGTTGAGCTTTTGCTCTTTGGTCCCAGTATAATGTGTGTGTGTGTGTGTGTGTATGTGTGTGTGTGCATAAACAATATAATTTTTTCTGTATTTCAAGAAATTATCAAGGAAGGAGATGACAGGAATGTGGTAGCGTAATTAACTATTTATATAATATTGCGTCTTGTGAAAACATACATTTGTAGAGAGAGAGAGAGAGAGAGAGAGAGAGAGAGAGAGAGAGAGAGAGAGAGAGAGAGAGAGAGAGAGAGAGAGAGAGAGAGAGAGAGAGAAGGGAAGGAGGGAGACAGACAGAAAAACGGATAGATGAAGGGAGGGAGAGAGAGAGAGGTGGAAGGGTGTTGTGGGTGGGGGAGGATACTCTCACCCACTGTCCCATTATCACCCTGCTCATTTCCTCATTACAGAGGCATGGAATATGCGGTCAACTCACGCTCGCTGCGCATGTGTCAAGATCAACTCTGCTCCTGATGATCTGAGAGTTGCAACTTCCTCTGAGCAGGGAGAGAATTGCATAGAATCTTTCCATTTCATCTCACCGCAACAAGACTGGTCCCGGCCGGCGGTCATTCCTCCGTCTCTGGCATTCCATAGTCACTGTCATCCATCTTCAGCGTTCGTGCCAGCTTGCTGAGTCGGCCCTCGCTTATACTTACGTTGAAGTCAGCCTTGCTAGTCCTGCCTCGACCTGGCTCAGCGTAGAGTTCAGCTCCGTCGTCACGATCTTGGTAACTCTCTTACGAATTAGCCTGCGGGCCAGATTGTGACCTTCACGAACGCTGAGCTCAGCTCGGGCAGGTTGCCTTAGCTTACCGCTGAGCTCAACTCCGCTAGGTTGCCCTCGCTTAAGGCTGAGCTCAGCCTGTTGTCACGATTATGTTTATAATGTCGCTCAAGTTATCCTGTTGTCCTGATTACAGGATATAATTTAGATAACTGTCTCTATTAGTGAGAACACCAGCTCAGAAATATTGCTTAAAACCTCTCCCAACATTATAAAAGTCCTGTCTTCAACCTGTGATGAAATCAGCCTCCAATCCTGACAATGACCTGCGCTAATATTTCAAACCAGACCCCAGTCCTCAAGGTTAATCTACTCTAACGTTGAAAGCAGCCTAATCAGCACTACTCAAACATAACGTGCAAATCTCAGCTCTGCTACCACAGCGGTGCTATTAGCCCGGTGTCCTGCTCACTCTCTACACGCCGTTGAAATCTCTCGAGCGCGCGCCACCCAACAGGGGGAGGTGCTAAGCGTGGATATGATATAGCGGCGATGCGTTCATGAATTTCTATGTAGAGCTATGTGTTTTTGTTTTTCTATTGTGTGAATGTTTGTGTATTATCTTTTACTCTGTAGCAGTTTCTCTCGCTCTTTATTTTTTTTTTAGATTATCTCGTCTATCTTTCTCTCCTTCCTTTCCCCAACACGCTCTCTGTCTTCTGCGTCTCTATCCTTTTCTTAGCCTTAGCTGTCATGATAAGATATTTTGTTCTTTCAGTGATTGTGGGTTCTTTCTAATTTCCACATTATATAATCTAGGTATGTGCAAAAAGGTCTTTTGCAACCTGTCATTCCAATGTTCTCTCTCTCTCTCTCTCTCTCTCTCTCTCTCTCTCTCTCTCTCTCTCTCTCTCTCTCTCTCTCTCTCTCTCTCTCTCTCTCTCTCTCTCTCTCTCTCTCTCTCTCTCTCTCTCTCTCTCTCTCTCTCTCTTTCTCTCCCTCCCTCTCACTCTCTCATTCTCTCATTCTCCCTCTCTCGTTATCTTGCAAAATTTATCTTTTTCACTCTCATTTCTCCTAATTTCTCTAATTTGTTTTCTTTGCGTCGTGGAGGATTCTTTACCCTCTTGTATTTTCCAATCATTACAAATGTCACCAAGAGTAACACAGGCTGGCAACAACTCAGAATCCTACAGTACCTCATTTCGCCTTCGAAATATTAGTAAGACAACTTACCTGAGTGAATGTTGACTGCGAGATGAGCAGCGTCTACGGGAGAAGACGTGGCCTTCAGTCCTTGTACAGTGTCGACGTAGAACTCAAGTCGCAGCAGCTCCTCTTGGCGGATCCATAACAGGCTTCTCTTGCTGAAGACGTCTTCACAATGTTTGGCAGACCAAATCCTCTCCCGAATGGGGGGGAAAGAGTCCAGAAGTCAAGCGAGCCTTGTCAGAGCATCTTCTTGAGCGGGGCAACTCCTGGTGTCGACGCTGAAGGAGGAAGGACTGTATCCTCCCGTAAGGACGTGTGGGTACAGTTTTGGAGTGTTATATATGGGATGTTCTTTAGGGTTTGGAGAATTATGTTTTACTGTTTACAGTGTAGGAGACACTTGTGTCGGGGAAAGTGGCACTTTATCAGCGGTCCTGAGGCACGAATATTTCTTCCAGTTTCACGAAGATCTTCAGTAATCCATAAGTCTACCAGTATCCACAAAACAGAAAACTCGTCCAAACACTCATACTCCAAAATAATAGTAAAAAAGCCCAATTCCAGTAGCTAAAATCACCAGCACAAATGTTCTAGGGGTTCGAGAACCGGGTCTTCCAGGCGCAGCGTCCACAAGTGAACAGTGACGAGCGCGGCGCCAAGGGACCTCCTGGAACGACGTACGCTCACTCCGCCTTCGAGCGCACAACTGAGATGATGCTGCCTTCCCGCTCACCTTCCCACTTGATCAGGGTCATACTGGAGCCTCCGCAGCTCGGAAGAAGAGGCACCACACTTCCAGTACTACCTGGAATGCCTTAGAATGAATCAAGTTTGGGTTTTTCTCAGGCAAGTCGGATGTGCTTGTTTTAAAGTGCTTGTAAGTGAGGAAAAGTGACGGGAAAGAACTGGGAGAGTACTAATGGGAAAGAAAAGACGTCTAGTAACGGGGTTGGGACAGAATCGAACACCCTTACCGTGGCCTGGACCTTTACCCCCAACTCGTCGTTTCGGAACCATCTTCACGGGACGGCATCAAGCAATTATCATCTCTAGTTTACCTGCCTGGATCGTTCAAATACCTCTGTCAGGTTTATACCTCCTATTAGACTATAGTGACATGCCTAAAAAAATCCAAATCCAAATAACGTACATATGCCCTCAACACATAAAGGCGAGAATAGAACTGAAAAGATCATTGGTAACAACTTTTATCCAATGGTAAGTCATGAACCGTACGTGGGCGTGGTTCTATACGGATAACTCACGCTCTCATTGGGCATCTTCACCCCCGGGGTGAAGGCGGAGCTTACATTAGGGCGGAGCTTATTGCGGGGGGAGGGAAGTGGAGTCAGCCAGAGAGCCTCAGGAGGGGGTGGTAAAAGTGTTCAGTTAGCACCTGACAGCCAACTAGCTCAGGTAGATTACGCTCACATACGTGAATGCTCGCCTCCCATTGTACGTAGAAGGAAGTAGATATTTACATGTTAATGGCTGGTTGTTATTGCTAGCAAATAATAACAATGAATTAAGGGATCTGAATTCCAGGTAACCAAGTTCTTACACTCCTCGCTGTAATACTTGTCAACTATGTGGCGCAGTGGGTGACGTGACCATCACGCAATCATCCAGGCAAACCATCGTTGGGCTTGGCCAGCATTTAATGGGTCATCCTGTGTCACAACTTCACCCTTGAAGCCTGACAGCTGAGGGGACAGCACTTCGGATTCATAGTCCTGAGGGTCTGGGTTCGATCCCCGGTGGAGGCGGAGACAAATGGGCAAAATGTTTCTATCACCCTGATGCCCCTGTTACCTAGCAGTAAATAGGTACCTGGGAGTTAGACAGCTGTTACGGGCTGCTTCCTGGGGGGTGTGTAACAAAACGGAGGCCTGGTCGAGGACCGGACCGCGGGGACGCTAAGCCCCGAAATCATCTCAAGATAACCTCATGAAGATTGACGTATATGTCAGGCTGCGAGCAGCCGTATTTAACAGCCTGGTTGATTAAACCAGCAACCAGGAGTCCTGGTCAGAGACCGGGCCACGGGAACACTGAGCCCCGAAGTCGTCAACAGGTAGTTGACTAGGTAGAAGGGGGGAAGCGACCTCGATAAATGAAGCAGGCTTCACAAACCAAGACACTGGTATACTAGTATACATTAAAGACGATCAAATAAAATAAATGTTTCCCGATCAGATGATAACTTGGAAAAAAAAAAGAGTTACCAAATTGAGAAGCTGACGACTTCCTGTAAAAGCTTTAGCAAATTAGATTTGAGACTTGATTGAGCCCCTTACAGATCACTCTCAACTTTGTGCGTCTCAGCATCAACAGGATTTACCCGCCAAACACACACCGAAACTACGACGTTGGTACAACGTTCAAACAAGTTTTAACACCACCTAACCAGTTATAACAACCCTGGAAACACAAACCGTAACTGTCTCTATTTTCCGCTTGTTACAACTTGTAATAAAGTTGTTACATCTTGGCTTAACGTGTTTATGACGTATTACAACGTTGTTACAACTTGCTATATTGCTTGTTATAACTGGTTAGGAGGTGTTAAAACTTGTTCGAACGTTGTACCAACGTCGTAGTTTCGATGTGTGTTTGGCGGGAACCAATATAGCAAGTTGTAACAACGTTCTAATACGTCATAAACACGTTAAGCCAAGATGTAACAACTTTATTACAAGTTATAACAAGCGGAAAATAGAGACAGTTTCGGCTTGGGTTTCCAGGGTATTGATTTAAATGGAAAAAAGTGATTACAATGTATTTAACACACAGACGCTTCTTCCTAGGACGATGCCAAAGCGTATACTCACACACACGCGACAATCCATACGCACACAACAATGCATGTACACACACACTCTCTAAAACCTATACTCACACAGGAATGCTTACGCACGAGAACACATGTTACTTGTGGTGTTCCGCAGGGTTCAGTTCCAGCACCAAGAATGTTCCTTGTTTATATAAATGATCGACCAGGGGGAATACAGAATTATATGAGCGTGTTTACTGATGATGCTAAGGTACTGGGGACGATGACAGATTAACACAATTGCAATGCCCTTCAAGATAAGATGGACAGCATAAGTGTATGGTGCAACACTTGGCCGAATAAGTTCACTTATTCAACCTATTCACTTATTCAACACTTATTCAACTTATTCACTTATTCAGCGTGAATAAAGGCCACTTTATGGAATAGGAGAAAATTTCCACACACACACCCTACAAATTATGTTAAAAGACTTTAAAGAACTCGGACAAAGAGACTTAAGGGTTGTACTGGATAGTTAACTGTCACCCAGAGACCATAAAGAATATTGTGCGAGGAGAGTATATTGCACGTTCCAACTTCAGATTCGCTTTTAAATACATGGATGGTGAAATACTAAAGAAATTACTTACAACTTTTGTGAGACCAAAATTCGAATGAGCCGCGGTTCTCTGGCGCCCATATCTCAACAAGCACATTAACAAACTGGAAAAGGTGAAAAGACATGCTATTAAATGGCTCCCGGAACTGGTAAGCAAGAACTATAAGGAGCGGCTATCTTGAGGTTATCTTGAGATGATTTCGGGGCTTTAGTGTCCCCGCGGCCCGGTCCTCGACCAGGCCTCCACCCCCAGGAAGCAGCCCGTGACAACTGACTAACACCCAGGTACCTATTTTACTGCTAGGTAACAGGGGCTTAGGATGAAAGAAACTCTGCCCATTGTTTCTCGCCGGCGCCTGGGATCGAACCCAGGACCACAGGATCACAAGTCCAGCGTGCTGTCCGCTCGGCCGACCGGCTCCCATTCGACCGGCTAGAGGTGGTAAATTTGATAAAGCTGGAAGATAGAAAAGAAAGGAGTTATGATCACTATATGCTAAATAATAACAGCAATCGACCAAAATTAATGAAGAGGAATTCTTGAAAATTGTCACTTCAAGAACAAATAAGAACAAGCTAAGTGAGAACTTGACGGATGCCAAAACCGGCAGCAGTTTTAAAGTGTTGTATCACAAAGAATGTTTGGAAGACGGGGACACATTCTTTAAGTGCACCCAGGCAATTACACACACGAGAATACAAACACGCATAACAATGCGTCCACACACACACACACACACACACACACACACACACACACACACACACACACACACACACACACACACACACACACACACACACACACTTTAGAAGCAGGAATGATAGGGAAATAGGTCAGGAGTCATTGCATTAGACAACCAGAGGTTAGAATTGTGTTGGTTCAAGAGCTAGAGCTCGATTCTGCTGTAGGCACAAATAGGTTAAATTTATGTTAATCAAACAAACAATTATACACAAATTCTTAAACAAATACGAGAACACAAACACACGCATACACAAGAACCCAAAGTTAAACATTCCAGGGCCTATGATTGCACATATATATGCTGCAGATGTATGTTGCACATATATGTTGCACATATATGTTGCCCATATTATTGCACATATATAACAACATTACACCTAATAAGAGAGCGCATATCAGGCTTAGGATTGGTAGGACCGGTTAGATTAATCTCTTTAGTTTCATTTCATATTTTAAAGACTACCATACGGGAAAAATTCAGTAACACAATCCGTGAACTTGTTGGTGTATTGATACCAACACTACATAGTACACATTGGTACTGTGGAACAAATACTTGCTACAAGTACCATCATTTTAGGAGGATAGGCTGATATATTTACATGTAGGTGTGGTTGTATACTGAGCTCTATAGAGAGATAAGCTATAGATGACAGCTATAGATAGATACGAAGATAATTGGAGATAAAGAAAGAGAAAGTACAGGGCGTGACTGCATCAGTGTTTACACAGTACCAGAGGTCTGAATGTGGCAAATATTATAAGTAAACATTGTGTGGGGGCCAGGCCACCAGACTGTCACACAATCCCCCCCAAGCCAAGGAGAAGGAGTGGAGAGAGAGAGAGAGAGAGAGAGAGAGAGAGAGAGAGAGAGAGAGAGAGAGAGAGAGAGAGAGAGAGAGAGAGATTGTTACTTAGATATAAATTAGAATCATTCCTTATTCAACAAATCTAGGGGTAGGCTTCAGATGAACTGAGGTAGAATAACAGCTCTTGCTTGTAGTTTCACTAGGTACTTCACCTAACAGCCCTAATGAACCCTAGTCTTAGAAAACAAAGAGACTAAGCGAGAACGTGAAGGAGAGAGTGAAAGAGAAAGTGAAGGGGAAAGACAGAGACGGACAGAAAGGGTAAAATTACAGAATGAGATAGAGATAAAGAGAGAGTGAAAGACAGAGATGAATAAAAAGATAGTGAGCGAGGTGGGAGAGAGAGAGAGAGAGAGAGAGAGAGAGAGAGAGAGAGAGAGAAAGAGAGAGTAGAGTCAGAGGAAGAGTGTAAGAGTGAGAGAGAGAGAGAGAGACAAGGGGAGTGAGAGGTGTAGAGGGGAGAAATATACAGACAGACAGACATAGTGAGAGAGAGAGAAAGAGAGAGAGAAGTGAGAAGATCAGAATTGGTTTATCGGTAATATAATTTTCATAGTTGTAATGTATATATATATTATAATACATATTCTAAGATTCATTTTCATTTTTGATGGGTTTACATAAATTATCTTCGCCTGCCAACACGAATAATAAGTCGACTATTCTAACATCCATCTGTTTATAAACAAAAAACTCAGATCCAACCCTCAACACAACGACAA